TGAAGGATAAATTTGAGTAGGAAGTACAATTTAAATGATTTTTGTATTGATTAAAATGACAGAGACTTACTTAGATAATTATGTGAGGCTTATGTGGTTCATTACAGGAGCAGTTGGTCTTCAGATGTCAGACAAGAGTAGCATTTAAGCTTCAGTTGTCCCACAGAGTAGAGGTCCTTGAGATGTCAGACTCAGGTCTGACTTGTTCCTGTAGAGGAAGAACTTGGAAAAATTGACTTTACTTTGTTGAGGCATAGTACATCAATCAATCCAAAAGTGTGCCACAGTTTATACAGGTTCCTGGTGGCAGGTAAGGCATGGGCAGTTTTGTCTAGTAGTTAGCATTATCACAGTTCAGGTGGAGTCAATGGTGTGGTATTCCATCTATCTTCTTTGGCACCTTAAAGTTTATTGTTAGGAGGAGGTCTCTGTTTATTGTGGGAAGTTTTTATTGTTTTTGTTGTTTCAACATTTTAAGTGCCATATTCAGCAGTTCGGCAAGGAGTTTGAGGGTCAAGTATCTATTAAGTATAGCTAAAATAGACAAACTTTGTTAGCACTTACTTGTTTTCAAAGGCTTAATTTTGAAAACACAGGAGACTAAAGCTTATTTTTGTAATTAATCATAACTATAAGTATAATTCTGAGCACATTAAACCATATGATTATTTATGAGGTAACTGATAATTAAGTTGTATGCTTTATCTTTAACAGTTCATAACAAGTTAATCTAGCTTTTATAAGATTAGGACTTGCAGCTTTATCCCTGTTAAGGTTGAGCCTTAAAGTTAGAGTTGAAGATTTAATTGGAGATCTTTTAGCATGAAAATAGACCATAGACCATAAATATAGTCAACTTTTTTATTACAGAATATTACAGGTTAAACTAGACGTGGTATCAGGACCGGGAAGTTTAAGGTGGGAAAGTGGTAAGGGCCTTGGCAGAGGGAGGTGTTATCACAAGGCCATAAATTGTACTGTAGCTTACTTGGTTATCAACAGTGGAGAATTTGGCTTTAGGAAGGGAGGGGGAGCAGCACTGGGCTGAAAGGAGGAGGCTTTTGGGGGCTAAGGCATTGAGGATGGAAGGAGGGGCTATTGGAGCAGCACAGCTGGAACAAGGCAGGGGAAAGGTGGGGGAATCAGTCACAGTAGCCCAGAAGCCAGCCTAAGGAAAACATTGCTGTGGCCCAGGCATGAGCCTAAGGAAGCTACAGTTCCTGGAGGGACATGGGAGTGACCTGTTTGTTGTTAAGGAGTTTAAGAGAGGCTGATGTGCTATGGGTGAGCACTGACTCCTTCCTACTAGTCAGACTCCACTGGGCACTGCAGAGTGGGGGTCAAGGTGGGTGATATGGGGATGAATGTGGCCCATGGCACATGGTCAGGGAGAAGGAGGGGTGGCTGCTGGAACATTATCAGAGCTCAGGTGGTCTGAAGGAAGTGGGGGACTCCTGCACCTGTGAACAGTGGAGACTGTAGTAGCCACTGTACTTCAGGCATGAGGGGCATGGCCTGAAAAACAGCAGCCTCTGTTGGGATCTGTAGCACCACAGGCTGGATTAAGCAGAGGTAGTGGGTAAGGGAAAGGTGAGAACCAAGGACATAGAGGCTGATCTGTCTGGCTTTGGTGAAATCTGGGTGGAAGGTTCCTTGGCAAAGTTCAAAGGACAGAGTTTCAGTTTCAGGAGCAAAAGAGTCAGGGGTAGGTGCTGAGAACTTGAGAGCAAGGAGGACATGGGATGGTGAGCAGGAGGACTACAGGGGTGGAGAAAGGAAAAAACAGAGACATAGAGGATCTCTATCCATTTTCCTGTGCACTCACAAGAGTTGTAAAGATCCTGAATAATGTTAGGATCCAGAGAGTCATTATATGGCCATTTAAAATGATTATCTAGTGGATATAGAGGCCAAGCCTGGGTACTATAGTGAACGAACTTAGGGGATTTGATGTTTGAGAGTTTTAGCTGTTTGAGATTCTGGAAGAGACATCCCAAAGGTGAGTCAGTCAGATTGGAGGGGGTGGAGCCCATCACCCTTGGTGGTAGCGGGCCAAAGTCAAGAGGGACCAGAGTTCCTTTGTGTCTTGAGAGAGTGAAGAGGGTTCTTTGGGAGGGAGTGGGTCATCACCCAGACTCTGTCACCAAGAGAGGGACCCCAGGGGATTCGAGGATAAATCTGAAAACTGTAAACAGGTTTTTGGGAGTGGGAAAGGGCACTGGATTCCGGCAACAAGACCACCAAAAGTGAAAGGGAGAAGGCCCCTACCAAATCAGACTGGATAGAATGTGCCTAGCTAGCGGCCAGTCCATGGGAGTCTGCCATAACCAGTGAAGGTCATGGCAGGGTACAGTCTCCTCAGTCCCACAGGATAGTGCAGGGACACTGAACACTCAAGGGCTGTCACCCGAGAACCTGAAGACTGTTTAGGACAGTCAGGGTGTGGGACTTACTAATCAGCCTCCATTGGATGAGAGAATGGGGTGCCAGAAAGACTGGAATGTGTGAAAAAAAGTTGGGGGGTTACAGGCTTATCCAAGTCTTGGCATCAGTGAAGGAAATCCTGCACATCAAGGGGTCCCTTCTGGACCCTGGACTAGGCACAAACCATACCCAAACACCTGTTTTAACAGAGAGATCCTTTATTAAGCAAGGGAAAAAAGTTAAAGTGGCTGCTTTCTGACCCAGGCAGAAAAACAGCAGCAAATGACCTTGTAGGTATAATTTTTTAAGATGAGAAAAAAGGGGAGGTCTGTGTGAGAATGGACTAGGATGCAGTGGTACATTTTGACTGGGCATTTTAAGTGAACCATAGGGGGTTTTGATTGCTGAACTTCAATACTTTGATAGTTGGACCTCGGCAGTCCACCTCAGGAGGAGGAAGAGGCCAAGGGAATAGACCTGGGGACTAGCTTTGGGAATGCAATCTAATGGTTTTTAGCAAGGCAGAGGGCATGGGGGAGATGAGCAAGGCCTGCTAAAGCCATGCTTGCTATGCTTGAGCTGGCCAGAGTCTCTTCATTTTCCCACTGAGGTCCTTGACAAGGTAGCATCCTGTATAATTGTATCATTAAAATTAATATTTAATAAAGGAAAAGTACATTCTCATTTTGAAGCATTAATTATCATAAGGCTATCTAAACAAATCACCATTCAAATGGGAGAAGAATCTGAGAGTTGGACCAAATTATTCATATCACTAGTAGTTCATTCATTACAAAAGATGTTTTCAGGGAGTCGTTGCTCTAGAAATGGCCATACCATTGTTGCTTTGGAAACAAGAAATGACATCTATATTTTTGGAGTAGGCATGGCAACCAAATGTTCTTAGTACTTCAAAAGTAAAAGTGAGAAATGTGTATTAAAATGATGGCGTTTGACAAACTTCTTGAAAAGATTGTACGTTGAAGTGTAAGTTTCATCTTTTTTTTTTCCTCTTTTTTGGTCACAGCTGAAGAACTTGGACTTTGCATAGTGGGGCACCCATTATTACTGGAGGAAATTAGTTTTGGTAAGATAATAAGACAATGAATACAGCCACTGATGTATTGTGGTGTAGAAATCAGATGTGGAGTGTTTGGAGCCCAGTGGGGAATGAGGTGGAATTACATTAGGTGTGAAGATGTCTGGCAAGTTCAAATCAATAAAATGAAATAATGTTTTAAGAACAATATTTGATAGTTCATTGTTTATATGTTTATAAAAGTTTACTAAGATAACTATACTATGTGTGTTTTGTACTTAAGATTTTGAAAACAAAAATGTGCATTGCTAAGCAACTACTCTGTGAGTAAGAAGATAAGATGAGGTCTACACAAATAAAAATGTGAAAAATGGGTTTATTACTGAGGTTCCCTCTCACAATTCACAAGAAGAAACACAGTGTAGAAAGGGTTGGGCAATACAAGATACTTAACACAAGGTGAATAAATGAAGAACTAAATTTATGAGTCTGGGAGTTGCTGTAGGGAGCTTTGGGTTTGACTCTTCTTTGGGGAATATGATTTACATGTATGTGATTGCATCCATTCCTGAGAAGCTTAAATTCTTTACCAGGTTAATGTATCTATGAAGTTGTCAGTCTTTTTGACCCTTTTCCTCTTTCCCTCTCACCTTTCCCACTCATCCCTCCTCATCCTTCCTTATTATCTCTCCCTTCCTCCACCCTCTACATTTCTATATTTATGTCTTTATCTATTAGTACTAAACACACACACACACACACACACACACACACACACACACACACACACACACACACTTACACACACAGTCCCCTCTCTACAGAGAATGAACTAGTTCATTTTGAACAGTAGCTCCCTTTGAGAAAGAGCTCATAGATGGTATAGGCATGGAAAATGGAAACCCTTAAAAATGTTAAGTGCCTTGTTGGTTTTACATTTTTAGAACCTAGTTTGTGATATGTAATAAAATACCAGTAAAATTATGGATTGAAAACAAGCAATTGAGAAACACTAAGAGAATATTAAAACTATTAAAAACCAGTAATATACAACATACATATGTATGATATATACATATCATGATATCATATCATATATATGATAATATCAACAGAATTGACTACATCCTGTGCACCAGCTCAGGACTAAACTGGAAAAGAATGAAACTCTTCAAATCAATTGTGTCAAGCCTTAGGCATTCTACAAGTTCTCTTTTAATTAGTTAGTTAGTTAGTTAGTTAGTTAGTTGGTTAAACAAGTTTCCTGGCATTGAACTCAAGTTGTCAGGCTTGCTGGCAAGTGCCTTTTTTACCCTTTGCCCTTCCTGCTGGCCAGCATTTCACACATTTTCATAGTGATTGTTTTCATATTCATCATACTATATATTTCTGTATACCTAATACAGAACATATAGTAATAACATAAATGTAATAACACTAATGGCATGGGTTATTTTTTCCTGTTACAATATTCTGTAGTTAATAAATATAATCCTTTTTCCCCAGAGGAAGATGCATCTCTCTGAGATGACTTATGTCAACTTTTCTTCCAAAAGATGCTTAAAACCTGCTCCCGAATCTGCTTAGTCCTCACCCCGTAGATGACAGGATTCAGGGCAGGGGGAACAACGACATATAGATTAGCTAGGAGAATATGAATGTATGCAGGAACATTCCTGCCAAACCTGTGGGTCATGAAGGAGAAAAAAGCTGGAGTGAAGAAGACCAGGATGACACAGATGTGGGAGCCACATGTGTTAAGTGCCTTGAGCCTGGCATCCCGGGAAGGCAGGCAGAAGACAGCTCGTAGGATTTGCATGTAGGAGATGGCAATTAGAAGCACATCAGCAAGCACCATTGATATAAGAATCAATCCAAATATCATGTTTACCTTTATGTTGGCACAGGCCAGACGAGCAATTCCCATATGTTCACAGTATGTGTGAGGGATTATATGGTGTCCACAGAAAGGCAGTCTCAAAATGAGAAACACCAGAGGAATGACCAACATGAAATTTACTCCAAATACCACCACCAGGATGAGACCAATCGTTCTGTTCGTTAGAATCAGGCTGTACCGCAGAGGATTACAGATGGCAACATATCGGTCAAAGGCCATGGCAACCAGCACAACAGTCTCCATTGCGGTGAATATGTGGATGAAGAACATCTGGGTCACGCATCCCCCAAAGCTAATCTCCCGTAAGTTAAACCAGAAGATGCCCAGCATCTTTGGAATTGTGGATGTGGATAGGCCCAGATCAACGGAGCCCAACATTGCCAAGAAGTAAAACATGGGCTGATGAAGACTGTGTTCATTCTTGATCACAAACAAGATAGTGATGTTCCCAACAAGGGCGATCAAATACACAAAGCCAAAAGGTAAACCGATCCACACATGCATCTCTTCAAGGCCTGGAACTCCCAGCAAGAGGAAAAAAGAGGGGTGGAACTCAGTGCCATTTAAACAGGACATTCCTCTCTGTTCTTTGAAATTTGAGAGAGAGAGAAAAAAAACCTCAACCTTTTGAAATGTATATACGCATGTATTTGACCACACATGTGACCATATGCGCACACACACACACACACACACACACACACACACACACACACACACCCCTATTATGATGAAGGCTCTTTCTTTGAAAGGTGATATTTGAATAGATGAATATGAATGGGAAAGATTTAGCTTAAGTTAGTAATTAACAGTAAACATTAAAGACATGGGAGGACAATGATTTTCCTTCTTGAAAGAATGTTTGTTTACACTGAGAATTAATCCCAGGGCTTGCACATGCTAGACAAATGCTCTCCCGCTGAGTTACAGTCTCAGTCCATGTAAAGAATATACTTACATGAACACTAGATATCCTGCAGTCCCTTGGAACCAGTGTTAATCCTCTCCAGAGATCCTGTGGGTGATGTTAGTAAGCAACACCACAAACAGTCAAGAAGCAGCTCAGAAATTTTCATACAACTCTCCACAACCCTACAAAACTAATCAGATTATAACCTCCTCCCTCTTTGTTTTCATCATTTTACTTATTTTGCAGTGTTGGAATCAAGGTCACAGTGTTATGTTTTCTAGATAGCTACTTGAAATTTAAATAAATGTAGTAACACAAATGAAGAAAGATGGGAAGGAAAGGGGAAGGAAGGAAGAAAAAAGGAAGGAAGGAAGGAGCGAGGAAAGGAGGGAGGAAAGAAAGAATGAAGGAAGGAAGGAACTTTTGTAGACATCTGAAACATGGAATAACAGTGATGGCAATCACTTTCGGAGAAAAGGATTTAGGACACTCAATACCTTTCTCTTTGGGGGACTGGGAAGCAGTTTTGTGAGGAAGAGTAAAGGAGCTTTGCTTTCTTCTTCCTTTGGTTCAGGAAAGCTATGGCAGATTTTCTTTTTTCCTTCCTTCCTTCCTTTCTTCCTTCCTTCTTTTCTTTCTTTCTTTCTTTCTTTCTTGCTTCCTTCCTCTCTCCCTCCCTCCCTCCCCCTCCTCTCTCTCTTTTTCTTTCGTTTTTTTGAGATATGTGACACCCAGATTCAAACAGACAGGTGAGGAAAATATACATATATTCAAACATCCTACTGAAATGCCTGTAGATATTTAACTCTTTACAAAACCTACTTTGACTTTTTTTCCAAAAAAGGAGACAATGTTGGGTGGGTAAGTAATGGGTGGTGATCCTGAGAAGAATGGGGGGAGTGGACCAGATGATCAAAATACATTATATGAAATTCTCAAAGAACTAATGAAAAATATACAATGACATAAAATAATGTACCTTATATTAAACTTTGTTTAATCTATGCTTCTAGACAATCTGAAATTGAGAAGAAACAACATAAAAGACATTATACTTACCCCAGCATTCAAAAATCTGCCCAAGTCTGTGCTACATAGTTTGAAAAATTCCTTTTTCCCACAGGTTTGACAGCACCCCAGAAGTGTCCTTTATCCCTGTTTGTCTGACATCATCTCTTTTGTTTCAGTACCTTACACCAGAGCCTAGACCTGAGCAGCAACAGCTGCTTTGGCCACTATCTGTGGCCTTTCAGGGAAGACAGAGAAGGACCTCCCCTTCTGACTTCATTCTGTGTGTTGTCCCTGAAAAGAAAAATTTATCCTTCTGTTGCAGCAGACTTTTCACTGACAACCCACGGCCCACAAAACCATAATTCCCTGAGGATTTAAACTTTCCTCTTCCTGAAAGAAAATAGTTAATCCTCCTGTGACTGTATTTCTGAACCCTGAAATTGATGACAACCACCTCCCACTATTAGTCTACACTCTGATTATCACCACAGACTCTCTCACTAAGCTCTGTTTTCAGTGAGCAGCATTATATCATCAAAGATGATTTGGATTAACAACCACAAAGCAAGATTATGTCATTGAAAATGTGTAATATACCATGGAGAAAGAGAAAATATAAAACAATGCTTATGCAACAGAATAGAGCATGGATCTTAACAGAATGAGAAGGAAGGTTCCAAGCTCTTCTGTAGTCTTCCCACTGAGGGTTAACTAAGGGGAAATGGTCACACAGCACACATCCCACGTCTGAGACAATATTTATTGGTGGAATTGAAAAAAAAGCTGAAGTACTTAAGGTTTTACACCTAGTGAACAACTTTAAATTAGGGTTACTTAAATTAGCATAGGCAAGAGGTTATTTACCAGATCATGGGCAACATGGAAGTAGCAAATTTTTAGATATTCCCATTCATAAGGCATCTATACAAATGAATCTAGAACCTCTCCCCTGGAATACAAAAACAACGTGACCCAGAATTAGAACCTTTATTCTACCATGTCAGAATTCTGAGAACAGTCATTCTTTATTGGGGTATCAAAGCTCCTTATCATCTTAGTTCATAGCAAAATAAATTAGGCCGCCAACATCCAGTGGACAGCATAGATGATTTTGTATAAACAGAATAACAGAGTGATTTCTGTGAAATTTAGAAATTCTTCCATATATAAATAGCACAGGTTAGAAAATGTGATATGGGAAGCTGAGGAATGGGAGAGCAAGAGTGCTAAGATATTCACAACTGTAGATGATGACAAACAGCACAACCCACTTTCAACATTTCTATCATCTAACAAGGGACATCACTGTACCAGTCTATGTACTATTTTCTGCACATTTGGACTGTGGTTGATGTGGACCTGTTTATAATCATTATGCCTAAAACTTTGGCCAGCTTATAGTTTAATGCCCAGCCATAAAATTCTCTGGGTGCTTTTTTCACATGAATAACATCCATGGTTCTGTTCAGGAATTCATGGCAATACCTGTCAATGATTGCTGAATTGACTATGACCAAATAAAGTCAGTTGATTTTTCTGAAAGACATGAAGACCATTCCAACATGTGTTTTCTACTCAGAGAAACTTCTGCTTCAAGAAACAGTTGAGTATAAACTTTGTTGTAGACTTGTAGTCACTACCAACCCTATGAAGACAGACAGAAAGGATTCTCTACTACGTAATCTTTACCTGAACATTCAGGGGGAAGTGATCTAGGTTTGAACATTTCACCATTGAGTTTGCTTCCTCTGTTGAAGCCAATCTCAGTAGAAACTGTGCTCAAGATGCTAAGTGCCTGCGCTTCCCACATCTTAAGTCCCTTCTACCCAGCTGTCATTGTCTTTTCCATAACTCTTATTACAGAAATGACATTTTCTTTCATATCAGTCATATTCAATGCCCCTCACAATGTCATTTCCTGTTAGCAAAATCTACAAGAGTCTGTTTAAAGGGTATTAGGGATTTATTAAGATAAGAAATAGGGAAATACAGTCACAAATACAGGATATGGTAAATCCAGTTGCAGAGTCTTTGGAAAGCTGGGGAAGGATCACATGCTGCTTCATGCTGCCTGACCCAGTCTTCACCACCCAAGAGAGAGTACACCACTCGACTGCATCCACTCTTAGGGGGTCATGTATGCAGAGAGAAAGCTGTGCTCTAGGGCTTGTACCCCCAGAGTCATTGGCAGAATGAATTCCCTCAACACTTCCCCTTGTCTTTTTTTTTCTAAATAAGAAGGTTGTAAACCTCATACAAAACTATATACAATAAGAACAATTATCAAGTATTATCCAGGAGAAAGAAGGGGTGATAACATAACCCATCCTGAAGGACCTAGATCTTGCACCTCATATGCTCGTGGCTAAGATACAAAAGTATTGTAACTACAACTATCTAGCCTTCAAATCCATCAAAGACCTGAGAAGGAAAATAATATCATCTGAGTAAGTAGGAAGTTCAAGCAAGCAACTTCCAAAAAAATATAAGGAATGACAGAGACAGATGGCCGCCTGGACAGTCACCCAATGTTTCTGTAAACTTGGGGCATCCACTTTTGGCTACAGGCCTGAAATATCTGACAGACCATTTTCAGATACAGGAATATTTGAAAGACTGTCCTACCCTGTCTTGGCAAGGTTCAGCAGTCGCATTTCCCTTTGTTCTGCTCATCCAGATTGGACAGCATGTTTATTGTAAGCAGTAGAGGCAAGGGAAATTCTTGGCCTAATAGGCCTCTTCTGCCAAGAAGAAGACAAATTCCATAAAGAGTGTCTTTGATTCCCAGCATTCTCACAGGAGTAGAACAGTGCTGCCAGGAGCAATCATGTCTCATATCAACAGAGTTCTAAGTTATTAAAACATTTAAATGCCATATTCTCTAGGTCTATGAAGTATTTGAAGATTACCTATCTATCTGACACATATCTGTATATCTAGCATACCTAATTAACATGACTATAAGTATGACAAGTTTGGGTGACTATTGACCTATAATTCTTACCAACCTAAATAACTTACAGACTAAGGCTTCAGATTATAAAAATGAACAATTTGTAAACAGATGTACAGTATAAGGACAATGACCTCAAATTTGTGACAATATACAAAGATATCTTAATCAGAGGTAGAAATGTATAGTGCAATATGACAATGATATCCTTAATTTGTATCAATACACAAAATATTCTAAACAGAGGTAGAACAAACATATAGTGTGACAAATACAATTTTACATTTACATCAATATACAAAAATGTTTTAAACAGAAGTAGGAATATATGAACAATATGACAAATACAGTTTTGTATTTGTATCAATATACAAATTATCTTAAACAGGAATATAAAAATAATTTTACATTTGTATCAATATACAAGAATGCATGCCAATGCAAATTATCAAAAGCTGATAGTTACTAAATCAACTTACAAGTATTTGTAATAATCTAACTTACTATTCTATCCTATATATCCCCCCTTTTTTCCTTTTCCAAAAGAGATTCCTGAGTCTAAACTTTATTGTTCTACCCACATCCCTATTACAACTTATAGCTAACCCCTCACAAATGACAATTACCCATAACCCTGAGAAAACAAAGCCTGTTGGGAGAGGGAGTGGGGGCGTTGTTTTCTTAGAATTGCTGCCTGCTGGC